TTACAACTTCCCAGCAGGAAGTCCAACTTCCGGGTTACATATGTAAACGTGTCTGCTTCACCTTTTCTACACCTTCTAATATGAATAATAGAAATTATAGTATTATTACATTAGAGGCCGCAGAGAAGCTTTTAACAGTGGCGAACAAATTTAACTGTTAATGTGAGCTTTTGTTTAAAGTACATCCCCTGGTACATCCCTTTTAAAACCGGAACATACTTAGTCCAATTAAAAACAATCGTTCTTCTAGTAAATGTACTATGAAGTAGATAGAAAATGGGCTCGAGGTATACCTAAATAGGAAGTTGTTCTAAGTGATTCGGTTCTGTAAGTCGGACAAACGAATGCACATAAAAGCGTACAACAAAACCTCTACAGAAATCCTTCTTAGCGATTCAAAAGAAAATTGTATTGAAAGCCTTGATCGAACCTCACAGTTCATTTTGTAACACCTTTCATTCTTTTGCCGTATTGATTGGGTTTGAATGGCGAAGTTTATGTTAACAGAACAGAGATTCTTTAGTAAGTGTGCACAAAAAGTTATAAAATCGAAACAAGACAGTTGCCTAAAGCTCGTTTCCTTCCATCTGTAATTCTTTTAAAACTGTAAGGCGCTTATCTATTACGAGACGCGGAGGGTTGCATACTGAAAATGAGGAAACTTGGATTGGCAGTTGGAAAAATGCGTATGTGTATTGCGCCGACACAACGAACAATTCGCCATCTGCATTTACATTTTGAGAGCTTTTTAATGGCAATAAATTTGAAGAGGTCACGAAATGGCGTTTATCGTGAAAATTACGAATTTCCGGGAGAAAACGTGCCGCAGTCCACATGCAGTTCCTTTCCCAATATATCCCGGCATCACATTTTTTTGGAAGTGACAGCAAATACTGTTGCTATTTCAAATCGCACGTGCAGAACACTAATGCGCATCAATTGCGAAGCGTTCGTATTTAAAGTGACGCGTGGTACTTTGCATACTGTTTCTGATTATTTTACTGTTCAAGGAGGGACGAAACCATGGCTCAACTGGGAGATTTCAGAAGGTGGCATTGGAATATTTTTACCAAAGCGGAGTTTTCCGTCATATCTTGGCACTTTACGATCCTCTACGGAAAGTTTGTAATTCAAAGCTAACGCGTGACTGGTGTCTAGATGAGTAGCTCCGTATCAGTCCGTATGGTAGTAGATGGTGGTGTGAGTCGCACTCCCAGCTGTATTTCTTTCATTCTTTTTCTACCCTAACTACGTTGCTGACGTTCCCTTATATTAACATAATTCTAAAAAACGCAATAATATTGAAAGTGTACAGAATCATCGAAGACATGGAAATTGTATTGGTGTGATACCACGCACAATTTTAATTTACCTAATTACTTTATGTTTTACTAGAAAGACTAGAAATTACGTCTTTATTAATTTGAATGTAGGCTATCTATACCTCTCATAAGTGATAGAGAGTTCCCATTTTCTCTCCCAGCAAGTCGACAATTTGGCCGCTAATTGCTGCAATAAAACCTTGCACAACTGCACAAGTTTTTACAGCGCTATGGGAAGTTGGCATAAGTTCAGTCTTGTTGAAAGTTGAGCAAGTGCTGTGGTACATGGAAGGAAAAAGTGTATGGTCAAAATAAAACACGTTTTTGAAGGATTTCCGGAGTTGTGGCAAATCAGGCCAAAAATCTACAGGGCCAAACTTAAAAAACAAAAGGCATTAAAATCTCAATTTTAAGCAATCCAAGTTTGAGAAAAGTCCGGAAGGGTCTGCGTTTGTTAGCCAATCACTAATCGACAAAGCTGTGGATGCCTCCAATTAGTATATTTAAATCTGTGCTCCAATGTTTGGATTGCAAACCACAGTGCAATTACTATTTATTGTCCCTCTCTTCTTCTGGGCCCTCAACACGTAATAAATAAAGAATCGGTCAGGAATTTTTTTTAAACCCATTTTCGAATAGAAAGGAAATGGAATTGACATTGAATGCACTATCCAGCAAATTACATTCACATGATACACGATCAAAATGGCGCCTATCGACAGCGCGTCAACCTAAATTCCCTTTACAATAAACCCGACATCCATAGGTAATAGTCCTAATTGAGTCCTGTAACTGCATCTCTATTATTTAATGTCTGAATGCGCATATTAACCAACTTTTTAGAGGCGCTCTACAGAAGGTTAAAAAAAATACTACTCCGGTATTTACCTTATGAATTAGGAAAACTGCAGGAACACCTAATTCGGAGTAGCCGGCAAAATGCTCGAAACTGATCTAAGGAAATTCTACTTTTTAGGTGTCTTTCCCAGAGAAGTACGTCGGAAGTGACCAATCACGGCGCTTGGGAAGGGTATTGTCAACATTCGTAAGGCTGAAAAGGGTTATCTTGAGGATGTGAGGTTTGTTCCGAAAGTGGGTAACAATTTGTTCTCGATTTCTTCTGGTCTGGATAAAGGGTACTATTGGGTTTTGAATAGTGAGAAGTGCTACGTTTACAAGTACAAGGTTTTGTTTACTCCAACGGTTCTCGAAGTGTGGGGCGACCCCCAAGGCGGGCGCAATGAAAGCCCCAGGGGGACCCAAAGCTGATTTTGAAAAATTAATTTAATTTGCTTACAAAAAGTAAACTTTTTATTTTTAAAATTACAATAAATGTATAATGTTTAATCAACCTCGTAAGAGGGCCGAACATTTTATTTTTTTAGTTTAACTGCAATAGCATAATGTGCGTGTACACAGGCATGTTTTCAGTACAGTGATTTTCATGTTCAAAAACCTCCAGATACCAAATTTCGTTGAAATCCGTACCAAAGCAGAAGAAGAGGAAGTTTGACAAAAAATGATCGTTGAGGCTGTCTGGTTAGGTACTGTGAGGGCCATGGAATAGTGTGTGAGTTGCACCGGTATCCATTTGCGTTAATCAAATCCGCCGAACCAGTAATTAATAAGATAGCATGTGAAAAACAGTCCCCATAACGTATGGTTAGGGTTTAAGTTTAGATTTGAAGGATTTGCAATTGATTTAAATTTTGTCACGTGCTTTTACGAACCCAGCAGTGAATTTGAAGTCTCTTGTAATTTGGGCGAGCCGAGTGTGTGATTCAAAAATGGCGTGTAAACATAAATGCGATTAAATTTGGTTGTAAGTCTAGATTATTTGTAATTTTAATGTCATTTTCAGTAACGACTAGGGGGACAGTCACATCTACATTTTTTTGCAATTCTGATAAAATGCGGAAGAATCTTCCTGGGCGCGAATTTACCGGGACAGGTTTTCCTTGAGCGATTCTTCCTGGGGAGATGCATTGAGTTGAGAGAATTCTTTAGCACTCTCTTTAGGAATGCGCCGTTTCACTTCAGGAATCTCGTAACTATTTTAGAAAATCGGAAATGGTGTAAGTACTAAAAAACCTCGGTAGCTCCTACCCTTCTATGATATACGATTGCTAAAAGAAGATGAAAGTGACGCACATTCTTGACTCTTTGGGGACGTGAATGTGGCCGCCAAATGAGACATTTTATAAAGTGGGTTAATTTGAAAAAGTAGGTCATCGCAATTTTGATATGAATTTTTAAACGCTTTAGGGGTCGATTTTATCCCTTGGATCTTATTGCAAGTTGATGAAGCTGTATATGTATCTTAGGGAAAAAAATTGTTTAGTAAAGTTTGTTGGCACTACTCCGATGTATTGTTTTCCGCAGACCTGTAGGGGTGAGATCGAGGGTAGAATTCTGTATGTAAAAAATATGCTTTATTATATTGGCTCAGATTGAAATTTTCGTGTTAGCAAAGAGTAATGGTTACTTTTTGGTGTTAGCATGCATACTCGTTAGTTGTGGCATTCCGCAAGGCAATTTTTTAATATTTTCGTCTTTATTTCTTTTCCAAAACTGCAACCGCATTTTATTATCTTGGAATAAACCTCTTAAAACAGTAAGCAATGAACTTGTAGTTTAGAATAAATTTGCATAATTTGAGGTTATTCGATGGGAATTGTAAAAGACGATAATGGCGCAGCAGGAATGCTTTTGTAAGGGCAAACAAAACAAAATTCAAAAACAGAAGTGTCATCGATTGATAAGAGATTAATCGCTTTCAAAAATATTACAAATGCATGGGGTTAACTGAATGAAATGTTTTTTTTTGTTGAATTTCATAATAATTCTGCACAGATAAAATTAACATGTTATACTGACAGTTAAAGTATCATATAGAATTTTGGGCCGGTCTTTATACTTCAGTTGAACTTGTATGAAGTCTGTGGAAACAATCGTATTTACAAAGGAGAAGAGGTAAGTTTAACTGAAATATCAAAACATCGGACCTTAGTGTTTGATTTTTGCGGTGCCACAAACGCAAGCCACCTGTATATGCAAGGTCGAAGTATAAGAATGGCATGTACAAGGAAAAATAATGAGGGCTTGTATTTCGACAAACCCTAACCAACATCAAACGGAACTGAATTTTTAACTTGCATTAAAACAGCTTTTAAATATAGAATAATCTGACCTATCTTGTGCGCGTGTTTCTACCTGTAAATCAATATACCTACCTTCAGAAGGGTAAGCTACTGTTTTTGCAAATAAATTGCACGTTTCCGCAACACAAACGGAAAGCCTTCAAAGAGAAAATTCACCTGCACGTGCCAGGGCGGATTCCCGTTTCTGCGATTGCTTCATACAACTTCTCCTTACTTAACAGAGTGGCATTATGCAAATTTAAAGTGAAGCACTGCACAATGGCAACTTCATTAGATCAACAGGTGCGCTTTCAACTCGTCTAAACATTTTTCTACCCCTATTCCGACGCGCTTCCAAACGTTTCTTTTTATAGAACAAAAGGTCAGAATGGCTACAATCTATTTTACATTTTCGCTTTTACTTGTATAAGATTTACCGGGGGAAAGAAAATATAACTACACCGGAAACCCGGCGAAGTACTGTAATTCATTAAGTTTTTTGGCTGAAAACTGTGTAACGAAAACCTTTCTTTTTCAGATCGAGTAAACGACATTGACGGCGTCGAACCAATTCCCTGTCAGCCTTGGACTTCGAGACTCTCAAAAATGGCGCAGCCTAATTTAGATTACACAGGTAAAGTAAGCTTTCTAAATGTCAATCTAGTATATAGATCGGGTGGTAAATCAATTTTATATTCTGCGAGTTATTCGTTTTCAACTTCATGGAACATTAACTCGTTTAAAATATAATTAGAGTCGAGCCGAAGTTGTTAATTTATAAACTACCCCAAATTACACTTACCTAACGAAATTAAACTGTATCTACACAATTTATATGCTTTTGGTGGTTAGCTTTTGAACGTTATTGCTACAAACGTGCTTTTCACTTCAAAGTGAGGAAGACCAACGGGCACGTTTTTTTGAAATACCAACTCTGGATCCGGAATTCCAACTTGAAATTCTGTACATCGCCCTTCACCTCCTACTTTCAGCATTACGCCCAGAATTTAGGCGTAAAGGTACGATTATGAATTACAAGTCTTAGATCGGAATTCCGGGTTTCACAGTTGAAGTTTAGTCAAAGACGAAATTCCGAATTTTCATGCAACATTTGGAGTTTAAAGCATTTATTCGTGGGGTGTAAATGTATTCAGCGATATACTTGAATTTTGTGGCCCGACGAAATAAATAGTTATACGAAATACCCTAGGTCACTAAAATGGTAATCTAGGTGAGCGAATGCTCGAATACAGCTCGGTTTTAATCCAGATTCCGATACGTAAGATTTATGGGCGTGATTTTGGGTGGGACAAGATTTCTGAAATTTGAGAGAAAAAATAATTGCACCAAGGTCCAAATTTAGAATAGGGTCATGTCCTAGGTCATGTCAATAGTAGTGAGAACCTGGAGCGTGTTGCTTTTTTCAGGGGGCATGTACCATTTTCTACCCCTGAACTTTTTTTGGGTGCGCCACTGATAGATTCTAAAACAAGAATTTAATTTTATGATTTTTTTAGAAACTCTGGTGTCTTGCAATGTTTTCGTATCTGTGAACGTTATCGAGAAATAAAACTCAATTTTCTGAAGATAGCTCATTGAAAGCAAAAAGATTTTTAAATGGTCCAGTACCCCCTGATTTTTCTTGGGGTTTTATGAACTAAATTCCTCTCTTACTACCTAATTGCCTCATTGTTCGCCCTATCCTTAATGTTCCTCGCCGCATGTTGCTAAACTGACATATTTTTACTGTAAAATTAACTGGATTTATTACTTGTATTATCTAATATTATGTGCAATATTTAAAATTACAACTATTGTCGATGTATTAAAAAAAAAATATAATGTATAGGGGAGTCGGCGAAATACTAAATCTAAAAAGGGAGTCGCCGTATCTAAAAGGTTAACCATTGAGTTAACCCACCGTTGATTAGTCGCCTCTTACGACATGCAGTGTCTCTGCAGTAGGGTTATTCTTTCCCGCCCCTACACGGGAGAATACCAAACAGATTTGGACGTATCCAAAGCTGTAGAGAATCTAAAGCGCAAAGATTTTTTAATTTCAATGTGCAATATTTAACCAAACCATTTGGGAATGTAGAGAAAGAAATCAGAAGGAAACCAGGACAAAAAAGTATTAGACGAAGACGAAAAGAAAGCGATGACAGAAAAGAAGCGAGAATCCCAACAAAGAGGGAAATGAGTAGAAGAACGAACCAGGATGAACCCAACGAGGAGAGAGAGAGGAAGAAAGAACAGAGTAAAAGTAGTGTAATGGAGGAAGGATTTTAAGAACCTCCACTGTAATCCGAAAATTGAAATGGTGAAATTTTTTCACATAACAATTAATTTGCAGATGTCTAATCTACCGGAAGGTATTGGAATACACCAAACCATTTGCGTTAGATACACGAAATACTCATTTTCTGTAAAGCGGAAGGACTTGTTTAATGTTTATGAACAAGAATTGAATTAATTGCTCGTTTACGTAGCTTAATTTTTATAACCACATCTAAGGAAGGGTGAATCAACAAAGATGGATAGGAGATAAAATTTGGTGGAGAAGAGTCTAAAAATAAAAAGAATTACAGGGTGTCCCCGATTTTATCGTCACTCTAAGATGGTTTACTCTGTACCTATATTATTCAAATTTCAAGAAAAAATACAATAAAGTAAAATCAAAAATCAACCTCTCCGAGCATTTTCTCGAATATTTTACTGTTCAAACGTTCGTGGGAGGGAGGGGGAAGGGGGGAACACTTTACATTGGTACTGTACAGTGTGATCCGTTAAGGGTGGCGACCGGGTGTATATCAGAAATTAATAATCCTATAGCTGTGAGAAAACAATGTTTTTAATAAAAGTGGTCAAGGGAAATTGCTAGAAATTATATTTAAGTTTGTGGGGTGGCCGCTAGGGGGCACGAAGAACACTCAACAACTTTTGTTTAATTTTTTTATTTTCGTTATGCTTCTCATTAAACAGGAAAAATTCTTTTAAATGACTAGCAATTTGCCTTGGTCACATTTATTTTAAAAAAATTTCCTCAAGTTGTAGGTTTATTAGTTTCTGATATGTAACCGGTCGTCATCCTTAACGGATCACCTTGTATAAGTAACAACTATATAACTAATATAGGAGTAGAAAATCAAAATTACTGCTTGGCTAAGTATTTATACTTTTTTAAAACAATGATATAGTATATAAGTAAGTATTTGCAGCATATAAAGCTGGAGTTTGAAACATTAAAATAGAACGTCCAGTTCCAGCCGTATTATTTCTGCTATGTTGAAGTCTGTGGACATTCCAGGCCAACGTTACTATATCCAACTCCCTCTGTAAAATAAGGAGTTCAAATAAAACGATCATTCCCCCATGACATAGTAAATATTACCTATTGTTATAGGTTATAGAATACGTAAGCTACTTTTCTAAAATTTTCTTTTTGACTTGAAATTTGGGTACATACCCAGTGGTTTCCTGTATATCGATTGTACAGAGTGGCCAAATAAGTGAGGTAAGCGGCTGTATATCAGAAACCGAGTCAGAAACTAATAATGACACAACTTTGGGAAAATTTTTTCCTTGATAAAAGCAACCAAGAGACATTGCTGGAAATTATTTTTATTAATAAATAATTTCCAGTAATTTCTCTTGGTGGCTTATAAATGGTGGGCCATCTATATGTTGAATTTTAAACTGCGTGCTATTTATGACGCTGTTGCTTATAGAATAGAGTGCTGGGAATTGTTGACAGTCGTTTAGTATTAACCCACCGCTGACCGAATAAATAAATCATAAAAATTAAATTATTCTTGTTTTAATTGCTACTTTATAATTCAACATATAGCCACCACTCGTTATAAAGAAAAAAGTTAAAGAAAATACCGTGAAATTTACCTGTATGATATTCAAGAAACAAAATTGAATTTTAATACCATGAGTTATTTCTATAGTAGAGATTATTTCTTGTTGACCAAGAAGAAATACTTTTAGCCACCAAATCTTCTCTTCTATCCATGTTTGATGATTCACCCTTACAAGAACTAAGTTCACCAACACTGCACTGTAAGCCACTGCTAAATCACTCCCAGAGTTTTACTTCGTGTTACTAAAAGGAAATATTTACTTCGCGAAAATAAAGCGAAGGACGCATATTTTCTGCTTAATAGTATTTCGAGATATTACCTGTGTAGATAATTACATTTTTTTTAAAGTTAATAGCGAAAACTTCGTACTAGTTTGAACCACCAGAAGTAAGTATAATATACAAGTGTCCACATCTTGCGGGTCTATGTATAATAAAAATAGATATCTAGGAATTTTCGAAGGATTTTTCAATTACGTAAACCGTAAATCACTTGAAAATCCCATCCATTATAAAACCGAAAGGGGGTTTTACTAAAACAATATTGCCGTATGGTTTCTCTCTCAGTGGTTTCCAATATTTTATAAGAGATATCCGTTCACCGCCATACCGTGCAAATGGTGTAAAACCTTTTAAGCACAGAATAGTCAAACTTGAACATATGTCATTATCTTTTATTTCAGCACGGTTCTCACATGGAAGGCTAAACTATTAGACCAGTCATTCTAGTGCGGGGGTTATAGGTTTCAACCTTGCATTTTGTGATAACTTTATGAAACTTTCAGAGGATGTTCTAGACACCCTAAGGTTCAATTTCAGCTATGCCTATGCCTATGCTATGCCCCGCAACCCCGGACGGCACTTGCTATAGCGGGTTTCTTAAGTGCAAGGTAGCATTTCAATACCCGCCCATAAAATGGGCCAAAAATGTACATCCAGGGTTTGTTTTGTACTTTCTTACATCTAGCAAGGTTGAAGGGAATTGTCAAATACCCAGGGAGAATTTATGTAGAGTATTTTACCTGGTTTACATATTTTTAAGGCGCTTTTAACAGTGCGGGAAGTAAAATCGTGACGGAGACCTCTTTTGGCTGCTCTATTGAATATTATATAGTTAACTATGCTCTATAGTATATTAAGTATGGAGAACGGTAAGGGATTTTTACCGTTCGAAGACAATTGTTTGGAGGAGGAGCGAAGCGACGACTCCAATTATTGTCTGAGAACGGTAACCCTTAACGTTCGACGTGCTTATAACATTTTTTGCGCGATCGAAATTAACATTATCCAACCAATATAACTATGCACTAAGAAATTAACGAGCAGAATAAATCGAAATGTTCGAAGTGGTATGGTGTACATCACTAGGCAACCAGTTTAAATGTCAAAATTGAAATTAATAATTTCATAAAAATGTGCATGTGTCTGATGTAGTTTACTAGCTTTGCACTTCCTTTATGACTTTATGAGCGTCTTGCTATAGGAAACAACAGCACAAATTGTACGTTTAATGTACCTAACAATAATTAAAGATTAAATGTAATGTCAGACTGTTGATTTTTAAAAAGGCGTCGGTAAGTATTTTTGCTGTTCTGTTTTTAGATCGGTAAGTAATTTTGGCGTCGTCGTAATCATAGCAACTGGTAAATTCTACGTACTGTCATGGAAATACCCATGGTAAATAGTCAGAAATGACCGATCGCGCAAAAAAGTATTTATTGAGACTTTACAATGCAAAGGAAAGTTAACGATAACTATGGCACTAAAATTATTGAACCCTATCTTGAGAACACTCGCCTCCGCAGTCGCACAATTCGGTGCAGGGCATGTCGGACTTGGCACAGCTGCATCTTTGTGTGCAACCTTTCTTAAGAGAGGCGGTAAGTAGGCGAATAGATGAATTTACAATTGAATCCATATTCAACAAACAAACTTAATCTACATACATTCGCAGGACATGTATGGGGACATTGCCTCCTGGCGCAACAGCAACTTCCGGATCCATGTGATTGGGGTTGGAGAAACTCGAGTGAAGATCAAGAATGGGAGCCTGTCTGGATTTTAAAACCTCCAATTCCATAAGCTTTTGTAATCTTAGTAAAATGTGGATGTAAGAAAGGTTGCACACAAAGATGCAGCTTTGTCAAGTCCGATGTGACCTGCACCGAATTGTGCGACTGCGGAGGCGAGTGTACTCAAGATAGGGCTCAATAATTTTAGTGCCGTAGATATTGTTAACTTTCCTTTCAGCATTGTAATGTCTCAATAAATACTTTAAAGCACAGTATAAAATTCAGTAGAGCAGCCAAAAGAGGTCTCCGTCACTCGGCACTAGGGAATGCAATACCGGGATTGCGGGAACCCGAAATACCGGGAACCCGCAGCATTTTTGCGAGATTATTCCCGCACATAAATGGAGCGGGATCCCGCGGGATTTGCGGGACTGAGGAATTTGTCGACCAAGGGGACAACTGTGTTTACTTTGTTAATGAAACTGATAACGGCGAATTATTTTTTAAATAATTGTTAAACTTTTTTCGTTAAAAATATACTATGATTTTTGAGGCACTTTAGAAGACTTTTTGTGCTTTACAGGTAAGGTTTTTTTGAGTTCTAATTAGGCCGAAGGTACTTTTTTGTTAAATATTGTGATAATTAGCGATTTATTTTAATACAGAATTTAACCGCACAGAATTGCTTATTTGCCAATTTATTTAAAGTTTTGCGAGATCCCGCAAATACCGGGATCCCGCGGGATTAACATCTAACAATCCCGCAAATACCGGCATTGAGATTTTGCTGCGGGATTGCATTCCCTAGTCCGCACTGTGAAAAGCGCCTTAAAAATAGGCAAACCACGTAAAATGCCCTAAATAAATTCTCCTTGGGTATTTGACAATTCCCTTCAACCTTCCTAGATGTAAGAAAATACAAAACAAATCCTGGACATACATCTTTGACCCATTTTATGGGCGGGTATTGAAATGCTACCCTGCGCTTAAGAAACCCGCTATAGCAAGTGCCGTCCGGTGTTGCGGGGGTGGCGGCATAGCTGAAATTGAACCTTAGGGTGTCTAGAACATCCTCTGAAAGTTTCATAAAGTTATCACAAAATGCAAGGTTGAAACCTATTTTGGCTCTTAACCCCTGCACTATTTTATTCCAAACAGAAAAACCGGAAAACTGTACCTTCAACGCCCTCCTTTTCCTGCGGGGGTATTGCTTCCCTTCAACCTTCCTAGATGTAAGAAAATACAAAACAAATCCTGGACGTTAAATTTGACTCTGATAATCACACGGCCGATTCCCTAAATAGTATATTAAGATACAAGTGTATAATCAAGTCTTTAAAGCACGCGCAACGAGTTTAAGGGCACGACGCAAAGCGGAGTGCCTTTAACGTTGCAAGTGCTTTAAAGACCAATATTATACACGTGTATCTTATAGTATTTTTATTATACCTGCAGTATAATTTAAAAATAGAGAATACAATGAAGTCATATTGACGTTATACTCGAATACATGTCCAATTAAGTGGGCTGGGTGTTCGTAATTTCACGATTGCCATGGAAATGTCACTTGACGTTTGCTTATAAAAATCATCGTCTTTGTGAATAAAACGATTTCCGTTGAAAAAGATAATACACCGCCCATTAAATCGATTGTTGTAAAATCTAAACAAACGTTGGTAGGTGTAAAATCCAACTCCAGTAAAGCCTATTATAAAGAATATGAAAAGTTGTTTTCCATGGATGAATAGGAAGTTACTTACGAATACAGTCTTAAATGCATCCATAATGCTGGCATATATGAAGGAAATGTCAAAGGTATTTAAAATCTTCTATATTTTGGTGCATTCATTCAAAACTTTAAAGCAATGCTGCGATTAAAAAGTGGAACAGATTTGGAAGCATACCCTAAATTACGCGCGTTTGTGAAAGCTTCAACCAAAGGATAGATACAAAAGCCAAAGAAATGTTCTGCATTTACAGAAAGCGACCTAAGAGGAGTTTTTATTTCATCCAGATGACAGTTTCAAAAGTCATACTTGAAGTATCGTTACTTAGCAACTTTAAAGCACGTGTGTTTTAAAGGCCCTTTTTCGCACGCATTTGAGTGTTTAAAACGGAGATTGTGATTCAGGTATAATAAAAAAATATGAATTACCTACACGAATTATTTTTTTCTATATTTCTTAAAATGGCTATATGAAAATATAGAGCCTCTCTATAGACTAATGCGATGGAAATTTGAAATGGAAAAATTTTTGTACATAAAATCGATTTTAATGTTTATGAATTTTTGTGAACCAATTTAGTTTTTGACAAGTGCCCTCTTTTATCGGCGAGAACAGTAACGATCGACACTATTCCATTATACTCGTAGTCCAGCTGAAAGTACGCGTTTCCAAGCTCGCATAGTCACACACATTGCATACAAATAGAGTTTATAAATCGCAACGCTACATTCGCTTTACGGTAATCACATTTGGCAGTAACGATGGATACAGAATGCTCGTTTATAGAGTTAAGTCCATTTGCTAGAAATGGCGTAGAATATTTTTGTATAAGGAAAGTATGGATACGTCGACCCAACAAATATAAACATTAAACAGTACATTATAATATATTCCCATAAATAATTGCGTTCATGTTTTCATTTGGGACCACAAACTAATAAAGCACTCTCTCCACTCACTAAATAGATAACAAAGCACAGTTCGGAAACTCCTGCCAGCCAAAGCAACGTTACTACAATGTATGTATCAAAATTTAATATTAAACAGGAATTCTAAAGATAGAACTGTCACGTAGCGGCGAGGTTTTCAGTGTGCATATGTCGCCATTGAGTACTTTTATACCTTAAAAGGGTGCCTTCTTTCCATTATAATAAATATACATCTTGTACTAAACGATAAACGCCACACTAATTGTACCGTTAAAAGGCTTTGATGTGGGTAACACTTTTGTAAGTATAAGTTTAAATAGACTGCTTTTAACTCATTTTGGTTTCAAATTTACTGAAAATATCTAAAACACATAAAGTATTTCGCACGTGTTTTCATTTGCGAGACAAATCAACTTATATAATACTGAAAATTGAGCAGATGAAAATGCAGAAGCACGTCGGATTGAAAGGTGCACTTGAGCATCTTATGTACTTAATATGTACCTCATGTACCACCAATTTCAAAGGTTCAAACGCTTAAATCGGTGTCCAGGAACTTAAAGAAGCCAAAACCTGCATTATATATTGACGGCTACTGGTGTAATATGAAACCAGGGACCTATGGTATGGGATAACACAATTTTCCCAGGACCACTACAAAACGTTGACGTGATACTAAAATATAAACGTTCCTGCAATTTTTCTCTTTAACAGATTATTTTCCAAAGAAATAAAGAAAAAATCACGGTCATAAAATTTAGCTGAGAGTTATCCCTGCTAGCAAACTACGAGTTCGAGGCTTACTGAAGAAATCTTCGGTAATTTATGGTTGTATCACTGAGTAAAATATTGTCAAACGGAAAAAATTTTATACGGGAAACAAATTCCAACCCATTTTCCAAGCTATTACACTGCTAGAATGATTAAATTTCTGATTATTCAAGAAATTCCAGATAAAAATGTTTGAAGCTTTCCATTCTGGCAATGGAATAGGGTATTTGCGCGCAATTAATGTAAATGTAGGTATTTAGTAGTGCATTTTGTGTAAAAGAATTACCATCTCAATGGGATAAGTTTCTGTTACAGCCACAAAAAATATTATTAACCAACAGGTCAAATGTCAGACGTTAAGTTTGATAAATTGATTTAGAACTTGTGACAACTTTGGAAACTCTAATTATATAATGCAATATGTCTTACCAAGTTAACCACCAAATTTTGTCTAGGGCATGCAGTAATTTGGAGATTTTCTCTAGTTTCAATAACGCAAAGGGTCAATCCTTGGTGTATACCCTTCTGGCAACAGCAGTAGGTGTAATTTAGTCAGTGAATTAAAACGCACCGGGTGGAAATGGGTTGATTTAACGTGCGGGCGTGCAAATCTAACAAACCCTTTGGCGATTACCTCTATTATTCTCCCAAAAAATGTTTAAAACACACTAATTTAAGGTATTTTTTTTATTGCAGCTCCGGAAACGCAAACTCAATCGATATGCAGTATACTGAGTGACATGTTTTCTTTGGGGATGGTTGTGTGTGCAATATTTAATCAAGGGCGCCCTTTAATTCAGGCTGGAAACTCGAGTTCCGCATATCTTAAACAGCTTGAAGTGGTGAGTAGTGTACAATAATTCGAAATCACTCTAATTGAATGTCTGACTAGAACTTTGCAGACGGCTGTGAAGGAGGCATTTAAATTAACCAGTTAATTAATTTCATTCAATCTAATATTAATAGTAGAAATGTAAACTTAATTAACGTACATAAAAGCGAGATACATTTGTTATGAAGTAAGTGCTAAGCTTCAAATGCAAATTATTCATGCTAATTCATTGCCGTTCCCGAGCGAACCTTTTTACCGTTTGGAAACAGTTGCTTTATGTACTACTTGCCTGTGATCTTCCCCCATCAAACCTAATTATGTTGATTTTTTTCAGTTAGAAGACCAAGTCCACAATATTCTTCCTCGAATTCCTCTTCCTTTGCAAGAGGCCGCCGTACGCTTATTAAGTAAGGATACAAGACAACGCCCCACCGCTCAATTATTATCTCTAATTAAGTATTTCAGGTAAATTAAATGTGCTTTTTGTCGGAAAAACGAATCGATCTGTTATATTATTTTATAGTGATTCGGCTGTACACGCACTGCAGTTCCTCGACGTTATAAATATGAAGGATCCCACGCAAAAATCGCATTTTTATCGCAATACGTTAAAGGAGGCTTTACCTTTCATACCAAAGGTAGGTTGAGATGTTTACGTAGGTAGATACCTACTATCATTCTGGTCGTTCGAGTTGGGAGACCTGAAGCGGAAAAGGTATGCCAGTTTTGCGATTCTCTTTGTCCTTTCCCTACATTTTCCGATCAGTGCAAACCGCAACGTTATTAAATTGGTATTGTTTTCTCTGCGCTCAATTCGTATAAAAACGTCGCAATTGTTGCTGTAGAGCCCGCATGAAGACTTGTCGCTTTTTGGGATGTTCTTAGACTTTACGCTTTCGTTTCTTTGTTCCCACGTTTTTGACAAACTCGAAACTTTAGAATTTGACGAACAACTGCGACTACAAACGCGATTATCGAGCGAGAATGTTTTTTCAATCAACCTGGATAAAAAACACATGCTTTTCTCTTTACCACTTGGTCGCACTACGAAAATTGTGATCTCGTCAGTTGTTAATTAACGAAACCCTTAGATCAAGTACCTAAATACGATTATAACAAGGAAACATTTTTATAATAATTTACTCAAATATGAGGAGGATTATATTTACGTGATTCACATTAATTTGCCGTAAGAAAATTGTTTAATTTGAATAAGTAATAAGTATAGCTCCTCTTGTCTCTCCACACCAAATGCATCCCCTTTTCCTAGTTTTCTGTGTCATTTTATAAAACTTCCAACGGAAATGTTTTAAAATCATTGTTAAGTCTCCTCGATTTTTCAAATTATGAAAATTTCTAGTGAGAGTTCGCGTTACGTTTGCAGTTTCATTCCGATACTGCGTTGATTAGAGAGATTAGATTGACATTCTGCGGTTTAGTTTTCCCCAATAAGCTTGGGTCTGCTGCTTGAATAAGTTGAAAAGAAAACGTTTGGTGCTAACAAACGGCTGGTCGGGAAACGAAAAACAAACCAAAATTCATTCGGTGAGCAGAAAAACCATTACTGATCGAAACAATTAATTTACCTACTGTCAAAATCTTAAGAGTTCAATGGGTCCGTGAAGTTAGCAGAACATTGGCGGCACAAATTTCGGGACTAGGTGGTATTTCAAAACCGACCTCAGTTTCCAGAGTTCCGCCGTGATGGCACTTCCAGGAAGCGAGCGGAGCGAGGCGGATTTGGTGGGTCTTTTTGAAGACACCAACTTTTGCACTATTAACGCGAAGCGAGTTATCATCATGTTTATGCCATACAAATCTTGCCGTAGCTTTTTGAAAGTTATCCCGATTTATACATGTTCTGCTAACCTTGCACACTTTTGTTGCCGCAATAGTGAAGCTAAGTGCAATATTGTTGCTCTTCTAGTGTAAATACAGTCAGGTCAATCATTGCAGGTAGCCGCCCACTACAAAATTGGTCGCCTGTGAAGTGTACCTACATAAATTATGCTGTTATAGTTTCATTTCTATCTTGCCCATGGAAAGAAAAAGACATAAGTTTTACAGTGGGCGGCTTTTTGTTCGCCTCTCTTGATTTCTGATTTAAAATTCGTCTTCTCTTTGAACTCGTTAGCGAATTTTATATCTCGTGTGATGCCGATTTTCCTCTCGTCTGGGATCCACACTGTACATCTCTGCATATCTGACAAATATTCCCTTTTTGGATCAAGAGGTACAAATTCCCCTGGTCTGCTCCCTGTTTCGTGTGTATCTTGCATCCAAATTCACGGAAATAACTGAAGTTTGGTACTTCTCTAATCCATAGTTCGTGTGGTGTTTTTCCTCCTACACCTCTTGATGCACAACTATTCCTGGTGCAGTTTTCTGTATTGATGGCTTCGCCCCAGAGCCATTGAGACAATCTAGACTCGGTCAACATACATCCATCTCAATACGTCTACGATTTCCTCCCTTGGCGATCCCATCCCGTTGTGGTATGTCTGTGACGGTCAATCTCTTCCCAATTACGTTTGTTCTCAGACACTCATGGAACACCTTGTTCGCGTATTCCTCTCATTTGTCGAATTGTAAGTACTTGATCTTCTTCCTTGTCTGATTCTCAACCTCGAAAACGATACATTTATTCTTCAAGAGTTTAGAGATACACCATCCAGAGTACTCGTCGATCAATACTGCAAAATTCTCCTCTCGTACAGGAAAAGGGATTCTCATCATTTTCCCTTGGATACAAGCATCGCATTCGAAACTTCCCCTGGGTACATCGGTGGTTACACCTTTGATGTTGCTTTTTCATGAACCTTTCTTGAAGATCCTTAAAGATTAGATGGCCCGGTCTTCGTTGCCATATTCAGTTTCACTCAGTCTTCATTCTGCCGTTGCCATTCCTGGTACTGAATTGCATTAGTTCTTTCCGTCTTGGATTATGCACAGATCGTTGAATCGCTTCTTCTGCAAGATCTTCGTTGAATCGCTTCTTCTCGAAGATCTTCTTTCCAGTCTTCTGTCCACGATCTTGGCGGTTTTGTCATCGCAGGTGACTGTCATCTTCTCGTGTATTATTTTTCCCACAGATAGGAGATTCATTCGCAAATTTGGAACGTAAACGCATCTTGAATTTGGACATCCGTGATTTGTCCTTTAAAATCCAACTTAATCCCCACGATTTCACTTCCTTTGATCTCCGTCGACGAATTGCTGGCGAGTTTTAATTTCACTCCATTTATATTCTGTACTTTTGTGAAACTCTCTACGTCTTTGCACAAGTGTGGCATGTATCCGCAGTCGATACACCAATTGTTTCTTCCATATTGGAGAAGTTACCTTAGCGGTGTTGTCTTTCTTCTCTTTCAGGTTGCAAAATTTGGCCATGTGTCCTTTGTTTCATATATATATCGGTTAAGAAAATTCCTTCTTTTACTTATCACTTTTCCCCTATGATTTTTTCTCGAAGGTCTTCTTTGCGACCATGGCGTACTAAATTCCTGTTTCTGTATGGAAGTTCCTTGAATCGGGACACTCAGTAATCTTAGTTCTCCGTTTCTCGGGGTCTATTGCGGTGTGTCCTGAGACGCAATCGTGGTGCAAAATATTCGAAACTTAGTGGGAGACTTAGTAAAACGAGATTCTGCCACGTTGTAAACAGATCATTTATAAATGTTTTCTCACATCCTCTCCCTCCTCTAGTCTAGTTACTGCCAACTTTCTGATCATTATTGGTTTTCTTAGTAGGCTCTGCGTCACTTGAATTCTCTGCAGTTTTTTTATTGTTATTTTTTTGCCTTTATTTTTGCCCACAACTTCGCCATCCGGAGCAGTTATTAATCGGTTTTTTTTAATACTCCCAAGTTAAACCCAACCGGGTAAATACTATTTTGACTGTATTTCATATAAACATCCAATCCATTAGAAATAAAATAGGTCTTTTTGAAGCCTATTTACAAGGAAAAAATTTTAATGTCATCTGCGTCACCGAGCACTGGCTGAAATACGATGAAGTTGAAGGTTTCAGAATCAACGACTGGATAGTGGCATCTGCCTTTTGTCGAAAGTGCAAAATACACAGCGGAGCTTTAATTTTGATCAAACAAAATGATCTCGTTTGTAAACCCCTTGAGGTAATCAACAATTTGTCTGTAGAGGTGCACTGTGAAGTCACTTCAGTACCTATTAATCAAGGGATACGCTTTGGTTATTCTTTCATGTTGCCGTTCTCCCTCGGGTGATTTTCAAATTTTCGTAAATCACTTCGAAGGAATTCTAACCAAGGTAAATACAATAATATAATAATCGCAGGAGACTTTAATGTATCATTTAATGAAACAGGTGATAGTAATGCCACACAATTATGCAACTTATTAAGTGCTTATGGTTTTATTAAAACTATTGTCGTACCTACACGCAAAAAAAATTGCATAGACAATATTTTTATCAACTTCGGGGTTAATAACTTTCAGTGTAATATTTTGGACACAAATCTTTCTGATCATTATGGTCAGGTAATTACTGTGCAATGTGGTAAAACTGAATGTAATGAAAGTGTAGATAGTGTTAAGACTTACAGACCGATTACTAGCTACGGAACCCTCAGCTTATTTAGAATTTTGAACGAGTGCGACTGGAGCTATCTTAACGACACAAGCATTAATTTGAACAAAAAATTCAGTGTATTTTTTAAAAATTTTTGTGATTCATTTAACATCGCGTTTCCGGAAAAAAACTTTAAGTTAAAGTCTTTAACACTGAGAAGAAACAAAGACACTAACATAAAATGGTTCACTCCGCGGTGTTTATCAGCTCATATGTGAGATCTATGATAGAGATAAATCCGAAGAGCTTCGTAATATCAAACGAAATGTTTTTAATAAATATAAAACAGCAATTAAAAATGCTAAAATTTCTGCTAATTGTGCGGCCATAAACTTCTCTTTCTCTATTGGTACAATGTGGTCAATTGTTAATTCTCATAGAAATTCAAATAAGGTGATTAAACATACATTGTGATACTTTTAATAGACATTTCGTTAACAAATCTGGCGATAATTAACCTAAATCAAACTTTAAGTGATACTTCGGAGGTTTGCAACATTAGGATAGCTTCGCATTTAAAATTTTCACTTACTCCTGTATCACCGATTGAAGTTAGAGACACTATACCTTCTTTATCAAATAGTAAATGCAAAGATATATACGGCGTGACCACGACCCTTATAAAAACAAACGTTAGTGTTTATGTTCTAAAACCTCTCACCAAATTAATTAATGAGTCGTTTTTAAATGGCATTTTTCCCGATCAACTGAAACTCGCTCGACGTAGATAATGTTACCAATTACCGGCCCATCTCTGTCTTACCAGTTTTCTCGACGGTTTTTGAAAAGCTGATTAATAAAAGAATTGCTTATTATTTTGAAGATCTCTTCAGTCATAATCAATTTGGGTTTCGTAGTGGGAGGTCTACATCTGTCGCTATCGCTAAATTTGTAACACTTACGCTTAATTGCTTTGAAAAAGGTGAACACGCTTGTGCAATTTTCATAGATCTAACTAAAGCATTTTTCAGTACAGAGTGACAATTAAGTATTGTGTTATAATTTTTGTTTGCTCTTACATTTGTTATATTTTTAATTTGCTTTTGTATTGACTAATGTATGTAGGCTGTTCTACGAAACATTAAATAAGCTTATTATTATTATTATTATTTATTATTATTATTATTTTGAGTGGGCGGGGTTTCAGCCAAGGCGGCTCTACCAACCCAACTCACTATACATTTACAAATATCCATGCCAAAACCCGGATTCTAACAAGGGATTGGTTACTGAATTTGTTCACCAGTTATCGAAAGCGTCATCAAGGATTACGCATTTTCATCCTTTTGTAACCAGGTTTTTCTTTCAATCATTTTCTCCGATTTTTAGTTTTGGCTTAACTTTTTCACCTGAACAAACACCATAAACGACAATTTTCGTGTGTCAAAAATTCAATCCTTGCTTGTCCGTATACGATGCTATTTTTCTTCACCTTGAAAAACTTTCCGACATACGTTTGTAGAGTTGCACTTAGTTTAATGTCACTAACTCACTTCCTAGTCATATCCTCAATAATCAATAAATTGAAACCGTCTTTCGAAACCACAACTCTCCGTTATATCTTCCTTTGATCTTGCGGGAATATTAGTAATGTTAACGTTTCTGTATATCCTGCATTAGACATAGGTGTGCGAAATTTGTCGGGTATTGACTGTATAGTACCTACATTATAGGTTACATACAACCAAAGAGGCATACTCTTTGATACAACATGCAATATAATAATAGATATTATCATCTCTTGTAAAATTTGTTTCCATCAACTCTGCTTACCAAGCAGCACTTGGTGGATAGAATTTCCACTGTAATCTTTCTGTATCTTGAAATCTCTCATAGCAATTTCCATTCTTTTTCAATTGATTCCACTGTCGCCCTAAATTATAAGCAGTCTTCCGCTTCATAGCAATAAATCTCGTCAATGATTGAATGTAACTTTCGGTACTTAAGGGCGTTACCACCTCTGGATGAATATCTTGATATACCGCACTAGTGAAAACAACATTCCTTGCTTTTGAGGAAGAGTGGCCTCATCATGCACGCGCATACGGCACACCATCATTGGGTAGATGGACTTCCACTTCCATGTCTTTAACGCATAAAGCAATTCCTTCTTACACATTCAATAGTTTTCCGACATTTCATAATCCAAAACCTTTTATAATCCGGTTTCATCAATTTCAGTATTATCAGACATTTTCAACTTTTGTTAAAAGTCGTAAATATACAGTAAATTTGACATATACCCGCAGACACAAAAGTAACATCACAGGAGTTTTCGTATACTGCCATAAGTGGTGGTCTTTCAGGATTGACACCCAACTCACTTTTATTTTTACAACTTACTTTTCCCTAGGCTGTACTTCAAAATATGGAAACGTTTTTGTGGAACAGAAAAAGTATTTGATTATGCGGAGTATATTGTAACCTAAATGCATAAAGGGAAAAATCCGGCTTTTAAAACCTTTTGATGGTTTTTTTGTATCCGTTTACAGTATCAACTCGTTGTGACAAAATCGCGGAGTGTCCTTTGACGACAGTTGTAATCGTTACAAATACGTTTGTGGGTATAAAGGCATTTCTCAATTCAGTGATTTTTCCAAATGTGGCTCGTTTCCTGCGCAATTTTATATCGTTTCATTAAACAGACAAATTTTAAATGTTTACGGTTTCTACACATCGGTACTCTGCTTTTCATCTTTCAGAAACTATGGTATCAACACGTGTGGCCTAGTTTACAGCAGGAGATGCGGACGCAAGAAGTTTTAGCCGCAGTTTTGCAACCAATTTTATATTTAATACAGGAATCAACAATAGAAGAATACGAGTCCATCATCCTTCCGTCCTTTAGGTGAGCAATGGAACGTTTAAAGATTATTTCTATATTGGAAAATGTTTCAGGAGCGTATTTTCGACTCCGAAATCAATTCAAGCAACGGTTACCTTGTTAGAAAATTTACACGTTATTCTCGAGAAAACTCCACGTGACGATATACGTACTGAAGTTTTGCCTATGCTGTATAATGCGTTCGAAAGCAGCACAATACAAGTTCAGGTAATACACTGATCCCATATATCCCTCCTATTAGTGTGTAGTATTTCAGTAGTATACTAGTATTTAGCTGCATGAATAGTTTTGTATAATATTCTATGTAAATATAACGAACTCGTTTTACTAAGTAAGAAATGGAAATGGAGCTTATTTCGGGTCGTTAAAAGTGAATTTAAAAAAAAACAATAAGTTCGGGTTCCCAGAGGATTTTAGCAGCAACTCCGTTCTGCATTATTTCAAATGCATAACAGAGAAAGTAAGACATCGCTTGAAAAGTGTGCCCTCTCTGAATATTTAAGACGCAATTTATAGATTCATTTAAGTAGTTTACGAAAAGAACATCTTACGGTACGATGGGAATACACTGTAGCCAAAATAAGATGTCTACGAGTATACAATGGGGATCTCCGAAACCATATACAAGATGCGACAATAATCAAATTAGGCAAAAGTTGTGCAATTAAAGAGTAATTCTCATGCTGTAAAGAAAGCCAGAAAATTCCTATCACTTACCGAATATATGCCACAAAACCGAGATTTGTAGATTTCGATTTTATTTTTTTCTGATATTATTTGAACAGACACAAAAAAATTAAAAACACTTTCTCCTATTGAACATATTTTTCATTTTCCAGCATAATTATTCTCGCATCCTGTTGAAACCAACAAACACCGTAACTTATAATTAAAGGTGGCCAAACCTTCCAATATTTGTAATCATTGATTAACCCTAAAAAGGACCGAAAGTATTTGAGTATTCTGCACTTCTGCAGCATGTTTTCCAAGTTTACCCTTAAATGCACGGAGCTACTGTAATTAGTGATATGTTTTGGGCTTAGAGCTCTCTTTGTTTACGGATCGTATATGCCCCTTAAATCAGAATCCAAAATAGGCAGTAAAGTTAACCACTTGCTTTATTTTTCAGAGTGCAGCACTAGTCGCAGTTACAAACGTCTCCGAGTACCTGGACGAAATGTCGGTGCGGCGTATGGTTCTTCCAAAAACGAAAATGGTATACGAAAAAAATCAAAACGATTTAAAAATTGTATCGAACGTGCTCTCCTGCGTGGAAAAGACACTAGATCGATTCGACAAAAGTCAAATTATCGACGAGGTGCTACCGTTACTTTACGACGTGCGCTTATCGGACCCGCAAATTATTCTTCGTGTAGTTAGTAAGTATACACCACCACACAATCAGCCCCCATTGCCACAAATTCAATTTTGAACATTGCTAACGGCGTGCTTCTTTTTAGATATTTACAGGCTCATGCTTAGCGATAAAAAATATGGGCTTTCGATAAATTTAATGGCGACGAAGGTAATGCCATCGTTACTGCCACAAACAGTAAATCCCTCATTGAATTTAGATCAATTTACGACTTTATTAGAAGTGCTTCAAGAAATGTTAGATCAGATAGATAGGAATCAGCGTAACAAATTAAAATTGGATAACTTATCGTTACCCAGCCCGGAAAGGCATCGGCCCTTAAGGCACCAGTATAGTTCGGATAATATGCACGTTCCGCCGTTCAACATACCAAATTTACGAATAGAGCAGCGGAAAACGTCTAGCGCGGAGGATATGGCCAGAAAGAATTCGACAGGTTTGTAAAGCCTGCTTTATACCATACGTTTAAAGCTAAATTTCAAACTACTAATAAAATAACCGTTCGACGGATTGAAAACTCAAATACGGTATTTATGTGGAATAAACAATTTTCAAACTCAAACACAAAGTTATTATTGGTTCGAACGACAAAAAGCGCCCTTTGTTAGCTTTACAAAGTGCTAAATTTGAAACTTTGTGCTTTTTTTTAAATTTCGGGTTATTACAGTTATTGAAAGGGGCCTATACTCGATATTGTGAAATTAAAGTACCCACCTTAATTATTGTACTTATTTCGTGCTTTTTCTCACATAAACCACATTTTCTGCTCTCAGCAGAAGCATAAAATAATTTATGAAGAATATTCGGAAACTCACTTATGAACCAATCACAATTTTATAAAGTATCTTTTGCCGATATTCAGCAGGGACCAAAAAATGAACACCCTTATTGAGTTTGTAAGAATATGAAAAGATCATCAAGCTCTGAACAGTGTGTAAACCATACTGATAAATAAGTAGGTAAAGAATCTCTAAGGATTCTCCGTAGAACATTAAGTGAACGTGTCGAAAGATTCTTTAACGGGTCCTTGAAAAAGGTTTCTTGATTCTTTAAGAATTACCAAAGAACGTCTAAATGTTCTAAAGAGCTAAGAATAGAATGGATTTTTAAAGATCATAAAATAGTATATTATGCATCAAATTTTATAAACGACAATTTAGATATGATTTTATGTGAGGAACGAGAGCAGCGAGTGTTAGTATCGTATTCCTAGAGAAGTTTATAAAACGCGTTACATATAAAATACTCTTTCTCTACAACCAAATAATTTATCAATTCTTGGGACCATTTTTGAAAAATAGGATGAATTATTTTCAACTTTAATGACGAATTTGTCTTACGAGGAATGCCAAAATGATTAACATCAAACTATCAACTACGGCCTAGACATCTCAACAAGATTCAAACCGTTAAACTACGAGCGATTTTAATTTAATATTTATGGAAAATGCTCCTACACTATATGATGAAACTTTTAAGAATCAATCAATGCTTTAAAACGTTCTCAAAATTTTTTAATTTAAGCACCTCTGACTGTTCTCCGGAAATCCTTAGTGGCAGCCTCCGAAGCTGTTTTAAAATGGTACTTAAGGTGGCAGCACAGATATTTGTTTATGTTCCTGCAAATTTAAGTCGCGAATACGGTACTCACATGCTAGTGCTCAATTCCTTTGTTAATTCCAATCTTAAATTCTAGCACATATCCTTTGATAGTACTACGAGCATCTTATGACGCCTATTATTCAGTAGAGTTACGTTTGCGACACGAGCAAGCTTGCGAGCGAGTGGAGCAAGTGATTTTGCTGATGCAATGATTTTGCTTACACCCATCTCTTTTAGCCAACAAGCAATGACATTTATTTTTTAAAGAATCATCAATAAAAATTAAATAGGGTTCTTTACCACTGTGCTTCGATCGCTGCGTCTCTCTCACAGTCGAGTTGGTTGAAATATATAGACACGAGTGGGACTTCTTATTGTAAGGAACCTTTGAGATAAGTTCTTTCAGAATTTACACATCCAGGAGTGACATTTTCGGAGATATTTAGAGATTTTCCACGGTACAATTAAAGTATCTCCCATTGAATCAGAAAAATGGTATGAGGAATATCTTTGTAGAGGTTTTGAAGGCTCTATAAAGAGCATTATGATAGAAAAATAGAACAAAATTACCACACAATTGGGGCACGAGCAGATTTTATTCAACATCAAGTATAGGGGTCACTGCGAAGAATATGAATCATTTGACAACCAGAGCCAACAATTGTGTTATATATTTTATATTTCAATGGCAAACTTTTTTTTAAAGTTGATTTGCCTTTGAGCTTTGACTCTTACAGAGATTCAGAGAGTGAGCATCGTAGAGTTAAAAGATTCAATAGTAACGGAAGAATCATTAGGGAATCTCGAAGATTACTTAAAGATACTTTTAAAGAAACTCTAAACATGTCCAGAGCAGTTTTTAGTAATTTTTGAAGAGATTCTGAAGGATATTTTAAGAATCTTTAGATAGGCTTAGGAAAACTGAGCACGGAATAGTCTATGAAGAATATCTCCAAAAACTACTGAAAGGTTATGTGGAAACCACCTGCTAAGGATAACGCCAGTAATAAAAGTTAGGAAGCTGTATAGGTGCGGGAAACTCAGAAAATAAGGGCACTTTTTGCCGTATGTGCCCGTGATTTCTTTAAATCTAAAAAACATAGAATTAATTGTTAATAAATTTATAAATTCGTCGAACGGTTATTTTTTATTAGACTTCAAACTTGAGTCCACATAATTTTTACGCCGACAGTAGATTTGGAGAAAGATTATACCCTCAGTTATCATTTTTTAAATCTATTTGACAACAAACAAGGCTAGTTTGTTGTTAACCAGATCAAATTTGGGGGGTGTGTTAATGACGAGTAATTTTTGTAAGGAGTGTTAGTTTTGGTTTGATTGTAGGTGGTATGTTGGGCGGGTGGTGGTTCGGAGGTTCACCTTCGTCGCCCGACAGCAACTTCCTGCGGGTAGTGAATGCGTTCCCCAACCGCAGACTATCGGATAATACGCTCATGACACCAAAAATTCGCATCGCTCCGTCTTGCGCTTCGTCGCCGGGCGGCACTCCGGGCGGTGGATTACCTATTCGGCGCCATTCCAGTATTGGACCACAGGAGCGGAGAGGTTCAACAGTAAACCTCTCTCCTCCAACGGTAATATTTCATTCAACTTTAAATATTATAATGTTTGTATTAAGAGAGTACCCTAAAGTTGCAATTGTAATTAATTGAAAATAGATGTCATTATAATTCGATGCTGAGATAGCGATTGTTCGCACAGGGCGCGATAGGCTACAGCTCTGTGTCCCGAGGGGGCTCGAGCCTGTCTGTGCCGTCTACATATGTAAGTGCAGAGGTGTGTGTCGCGTGAGTTTATCTGTTATTATTATAATGACGCGAAAAATGTGCACCCCGTGGCGTGGCTCACCTGCGGGCCGCCCCACGGCCCCCTGCACGACATCACATGTCATTCATGCCACCTTGTTAATTGTATTTTCATTCTCATTTGTGCCGTCCGACCGCTTGGAACATGCCGTTTGTTGATTGCGCTCTGTCTCTATTCAGCTTGCACGGAGCATGATAGTGAGTATCTGTTTTGATGTAATCCGATAGGCGGAGAGTTCAATTTTTTTTGTAGTACTCCAAAATACACGACGCTGAACACTGTTTTAGACGTTGTTTTTCCTATGTTAGCTTCTGCTGTTTAATATAGTCAAGTAGGATCCATCACCATCATGCATTTCACTATCAACACAGTGTGCACTATGAGACTTTGTCGCACAGCGCTCTACACGCTTCTTTGCAGGGAGGTTCGATGCCGAACACCAGCAGCAGCGTGCCATATCTACTTAGTAGTAGCATGCAGAGCATCAGATCACGTAGGCCTTCCGCCGTCTTTGGCGGGTCGCAAGGATCAGGTCTACTACAGCAACTGGGCTCCGGCATGGTAAGACTCACCTCTTCACACCATCAGGCCAACGGCAGAATGTTGACTAGTAGCACAGTTAGGAAATGCCCTTCCCTGAACATAACATTTAGCTGAATGTACGTACGTATGAACGACGATAATAACGTTCACATTCCTGCTTTCCCACACTCATTTTACCTCTGTCGTGCATAATCACTCACCAGCGGGGGCTGTTGCCTTAATTAGTAAAGAAGGATAGTTATGATAATGCAAAAGGACCACAACAGCCCTTCGCCTAATTGTTTTTTGATGTTCCAGTACAACCTATTTTCCGGCCGCCAATAAGAATCACCATGATGATGATTTGAGTTCATTCGTTTATCATGATTTACGTATATTTCATTTTGTGGATATACAGAGGAAGATCGGAAGCGGCTTATCGAGCGACAATCACAGGCGACAGCACACAATGCGAGGCCCTATCAATCACTGTTACGTGTGTTCATTCGCAGTGTTTTCCTCTCAATTATGCGATCCCTAGGGGTTGATAAGACAATGTTAACTATCATACAATCCTGAAAAGATGTGCCCTAATTACATACAAAGCTATCCCTTGACAATCGTTTACACACTAATAATAAATTTACATGCCACCTACTTTTTAACACATTGTGTCTAAAATACTTAATGCATGCAATCTTATATGTCAATCTAAAATAATTCAAATGTTTATAAATTGCGACAACTTACATCCAAGTCGAATTTAGAATTTTCATGTGTACGTAAAGACTTATTGCCACCCTTTTCAATCAAGATTACTATACTGTGATTCGTGTGTAAGAACTTTTAACTAAAATTGGTTGTGCTCAACGTATAATGTGAAAGAAAAAAAACGTAATTTTTTATTCGCCGTTTCTTCACAGTTTCGCCTTGGAATATGAGGAATACGATAACCGCGTGGATCTTTGAAACCGCAACGGTTTTTTTTGGCACTTTGACCGCGCGTTGTTTGGCAACCGCAGGCGGGACCAAACAAGACGTCAGGTGACAAAAAACCTTTGTCAGTTTCGAAATTTACTTTTCTCCAGCTAGTTAAACCTTAGATCATTTTTTGAGTAAACAGCTACTAACTAGAATTATACAAAACTTAGCTTCCAGTTCTTTAGTTATGGCACAGATTTTATCTGTGGTTATGGTGACGTTCGTTTGAGTAGGAATAGAGTCAGAGCAACATCATTTTATCCTCCTTCTCTTGGTCACGCTAATTTTTGTTTATTAAGTAACATAAATACAGAGTGGCCCAACGAAAAGTACACAGAGGGTTTTTAAGGTCTTAAATTTAGAAATTTAGAAAACTCCTCGAACACGTCAATTTTGTATTCGAGGGGGCAACTTTTGGAATACAAATCACGAACCAAAGTCTTCACCCCTCTACGTAGGGAGCTTAACCCTTAAAATTTTAAATGGAATCCTATGGCAAATGGCACATTATTTGAAAGCCAATTTAATCGTGATTACTAATCTGCTTTGCTTTTTAAATTTCTATTGATTCGTTTCGGAGATAATTCGCATTTGAAATGGTTTTTTCTAAACCAAAACAAATGCGATCTAAGTCACCTTGTATTAAAATTCTATTTTGGTGCTTCAATTTGTTTGTTAAACTTAAGTGAGCCTGTCAGTTCTCCGAAAAATTAGTATTTGCCATAGGATTCCATTTAAAATTTTAGGGGTTAAGCTCCCTACGTAGAGGGGTAAAGACTTGGGTTCGTGATTTGTATTCTAAAAGTTGTCCCCCTCGAATACAAAATTGACGTGTTCGAGGATTTTTCGAAATTTCTAAATTTAATACCCTAAAAGCCCTCTGTGTACTTCTCGTTGGGCCACTCTGTATTCTAAAACAACTGCACCAGAGCTTTGCTTGTATCGTAGTGTGAACCTTGAACTTAAACTGTTATTAAATAAATTTTGAATCGTCCTTACATCAGTAGTTATTTTGTAGATTGGATTGGTTGGGTTGCTTCTGAATATGTATTTTGCCCGAGGCTACATAATTTATGAAGGATAACGACAGGATGCTTTATTACTAAAAATGGTTCGACGTTTTCACATTCCTACACTATTGTATTTCAAATTTAAGAGAAGACGCTTGTGTATGCATACGATTTCTCCAAAAATTTAAAAGGGGCTGTTTCATAAGTGAAACTGAATTTCACTTTTGCTCATCAGAGACCTAGATTACTATCTAGGTAAATTAGTGTGTCATACCTTGAAATCAGGTGAATTTAAGCAGACAAAGATCATGTTTATATAAAACTATAAGAATGCTATTTTGCTGTTGATTTTTCACTAGTACCTACATTTTCAAATAAGGCGTTTGAAAACAGTTTAGAGCATCAAAATCATTTTAGTTGCATTTAACTCCAAATAATACGAAATTTCACACGCGCGCATTGTTCTCTTAATACCCCGTCCCAATAAACAAAGTAAAAACCCCTACAAGTACAAAAATCTAGGGCGATGATTTGGGCGATTCAAGGAAAAGTCCGAGGCCCTTTTGATGAACAAAGATTGTTAAGTAAGGTAGAAACAGATCGTTTATCCTATTTACTCGTATTAAAAAAATTCCACAACCCTCATTACACAGCCTTTCGTATTTGGCATCGGCACCATGGCCGCCTTAGTGTCCTGTTCGTGTCCTGTGTTCTTTTAATATTAATATTAATATTAATATATTAATATTAATTAGAACCTGGGGGCTCCGCGTGGCGGTGGTGTTTAAGATGCGGAATGTCCTCTGGACGGAGTCCAGTATTGCCTTTATTCGAGCGTCACAGCTTTCTACTGCCCCATATAGTGGGAATGCACACTAGTGTAACGACATTTGGAGAGTGCAGTGCAAGCGAGAATCAACCTTTTTATGGCTGATCGCAGCGCGCGAAGATATATTGTTGTTAGCGTATTTTGCGTGGCACCCCAACCTTCTCCGGTTATGTGGAAAAGTCGACTTGACACCCTCGCCGTTTTCTATTTTACCATTTTTACGTGGTCAATAAATGTAAACTTTGGTTTTAGCAATATCTACCCCTAACGTTGGTCTTGTTTTACCGTCTTTGAGCGTAAGCTCCGGGGACGCGTCGCCTTTAATGTCGGAACGAAAATTTTTAGCCGTAGTGTCCCCGTAGCTAGGGGCTTTGTGGTTGTTGATATACCTAAGTATTGAGCTAAGGTCGCCCATTGTCATGCCTGGATCGTCTCCCGAAGTATTGTGCCTTTCACTATCAATTAACATGCCTAGGTTATTGCCGCAGGGAAATATGACTTTATTAGGTGTTTTTCGGAGTCGGTTTCGTTATTCGACCATGTGCTTGTTACCAGGTCCTCGTACGTTTGAGGGAATTGTGGTATTTTCATGCCGCTTCTGAAAAAGACTGACTTGTCGCTGTCTTCTCTTCTCATAAACTAAGATAGAAATATAAAATATTGGAGAATATCCAGAAAATCCGCTCATGTCAAGAATGCCGAAGTATTGTTCGTCTCTGAATATTATTTGATCAAGTCCAAAAAGAGAATTCCACTCAAAAATTGTCCCTGAAAGCTCCCTGTCGATATATTTATCACCAAAAAGAATCACCAGAATATTCGCTCCTATGGAATTCAAATTCAGGAAGAAAAAGCTGCACGTTCAAATCCAAAAAAAGGGATAAGGAAAGTTGTAAGTGCGGTTATTTTTTTCCAAAAGAAGAATATTTTTTTCTTAAGGACCAAATAAAGTTTAATCATCGAAATAATTTCCATCTTTAGCCATTACTTTGACCCGTCTTTCAGGCAAAGCTATCGGAAGAATTCCTCATCAGCTTTCGAGGCGATCCATCCATCGACCCATTTTCCGACAATTTTTTAACAGATATGTAGTACGTTATTTTATCCAAGAATATCCAATAGTTGCTATATTTGAAAGAGGGACGATTAAAAATGTCCAAAATGCAACTAATTTTTAGTAAACGTATCCGAAGACCTTCGAGGATTCCTGGTTGTTTCATGTACTAAGTCAGTTTTTTCGGGATTTTGAGTAAGGATTGTTGGAGTAGTTGAACCTAGATCTTTGATGAGCTCACAAAATAATAAGGTTGTACCTCTCAATACTAAATCTTGATTTTCTTGGTTTTATCTGTACATTGTAGTAACTGTTTGATAGTAATTTTCAATTACTGAGTGACTTCTCACTAAATGGTAGGCTCAAAAATTGATGCAGTGTTTCCGTTGTTTTAAACATGGTGATTGAAGTGTGAAAAGAAATCTTATAAATGCTAAACTCATTTTGTGGTTAGGAAGTACCGACATAAAACCTAAATAAGCTCTATTAGCTGCCACTCTTGTTTTATAGTTAAACCCAATAGTCCATGTTGGTTATCAGATTCCACATATTCCTAGATTCGCATAATGGACCGTATCCATTGACACCACAATTGACTACATGTTACATTAAAATACTACTAATTGTTTCGTCGTTAATTTATGTCTCCAGTAAATGTAAATATAAAAAATTTAAGAAAAAAAAACGTAAAAAATTTCGATTTCAAAGTAATGTATGTTCGACAAGCGACAATCTCTCAATATTAACACTCTATACATCCGGTTTACTACTTATATCACATGTCAATAATGTTCATTGTAACATAAACTATTATTCATATCAAATTCTAACAAGAATAACTGTAAATTGTATAATTTTTTATCTTCTTCAATGTAAATAGAGAGTTTAGAGAATATATGTAAGATTACTATGCTGGAAATAGTATGATGCATTAATAAAGTTGGAAGTACAAATGATGTAAATTGAGAAAGAATTAAAACAAAGAGAAGTAAATAAAAAGCATATTTGGATAACCTGTTATTTAAACTGAGCTGCGGTGGACACAACGACACTTCAATGCTTTAAATGTGGCTACGGTCTTGGTGTGAAGCAGTATTCCCCTGAAATTTTTCAGCTGACCAATACCTCTTGCATTTATAAACCATGTGTATTTTTGATCGCTGTTTTATTTCCTTCTGTCTTCACTCAGTGTACATATTAACCATGTCACCTTTACAAGAATAAATGAACAAAATGTCACTATCTGTCCACCTGTTTTCAATCAGCCTGAAGCATGCTTACAATTAACTGTAAATAATGTTATTCTTCCACATTTTTTGGTGTTACCTTTCTGTGTATAGACCTTCAAAGGATAATTAAAGTTTACCAACGTTTAGGACAATTTAACTTCGGGATGGTTTATGCACTCAAGAAATCAAACAACCACAAATGGCTGGACGGACCGTCAGTATCGTGCGCCTTTTCAGAGCGATCCGAGAAGAAACATGTGGTGGTCACCGACGCTTAGAGGTCATCCTTCGTACATTGCGTTAAGAAGATCGGCGCCGACGGTTGACGGACTCTCCTAATTTTTGAAGTATCATTATTAGATCACACTTAATCTTTGAATGTACGCCGTTTAAAATTTCTAATCGTTTTTGATTGTCGTATGTTGTAGTTAAATTGACATTTGCATTAGACCGCAGCGGGGACAAGGCAGAAGGAAATAAACAGTATTTGAGTTTGTCCTGGAGAACTGTACTTTGTCTTAAGTGTAGGGCACGGTCATAGATTCTCATAATAAAGTAAAATGCTAATAGATTATGTGTCTCTTGTGTTGTTTTTTTAAGTGTTATGTGGTTTAAGCAGTGCTGACTGCTGAAGCTTCCCGTTACTCAACTTTTACAGAGAGCAAAAGGTCGCATAGAATCTTCCAAACTAAGCAAGCGCGGCGACAAATAAAGTAAAAGGAGTTGTAGTCTAAGCATTTATGAAATTAATAAAATTAAAATACCACCCCTTTCCACAACTTAGGAAAACGTCGAAAGTATGCCATATCGCTAAATAATATTAAATGTTGCACGACAAAGAACGCAGGAGTGATCCCTAATTCCGTTACCAGATCGCGACAAAGGATTAGAAAAGAAAACCTGGTAAGTCCTCGGAAGGAAGGTAACGCTAGCAAATGCTTACGTATTTTTTTTTGCAAATGAAAAGCAGTGAGTGTATGCATATTTCTTACTATTAATCACAATATTACACGTGACATTGGATTAGTTAAAATTCTAGATAAGTACATAGAGATATTGGAAAAAATCAATTTGCTGCTAGGAACCTTGTAAGGGGTTGTAGACACTGTAAATTCTGTAATCGGGGGGGGGGGGGGGGGGGGGGGGGGGGGGGGGGGGATATGAAGACAACCTGAGAAAATTAGCAATCAGGCATTGTTTTGCAATGAATGATTTCCT